ATCCATGGCCCCCTCAGGCACTGGCGTGTGTACACGGACCTGCCGAGGGAGCATGTAGTGGCCCCTGCAGGAACTCAACAGGACCCTCCAGCAGAGGCCGAGTGGCACTTCAGGCTGCTGGATGAGCTGGTCCAGCAGTGCACTTCCATTTGTGCCACAATGCGGGAGGTCTTCACCTTGCCTGCCCCGTCACGGGCACCGCTCCTCCTTCCTTCCCATCCCCTCCTGCTCCTGAGCCCTCACAGGCCCAACAGCTGCCCCCCCCTCCTGCCCAGGCCAGGACTGGCTCTTGCTCCACCCGATCCCAAGGCCGTGGATGCAGGAAGGTGGCAGGTCCCTGTGAGCCCCCCTCACCTCTCCAGGTTTTCAGTCCTCTACCATCCCAGTTAAAGGACATTTCAGTTATGGAACAAAATCTTTTTTTTTGACTGACATTTACTTTGTTTACTTTGAGCAGTAAGAAGAGAAAGGTGTTTTATACATAGTCTGCACCTGTTCTGTACTACTAGTGTTTCTAATAAAAAAAAACCCAACTCTGTTTACAAAGGAAACCAGGTCTGTGTCTTCTTAATGGAAAGAGAGTGAGGGTTGTGGAGGGAAAGGTAGGATGGGCCAGGCCAATCCTACAATGGGAGAGTCAGTGGGATCCTTCTGAGAATCTCTCCCTCAGGGGCTCTCATATTTGGACACCAGCCTGGCGGATGGCAGCCGTCCGGGGCTGCTGAAATTGCCTCTCCTGGCCATCAGGACCTGTCCTCCACCCCAGCAGGAAGGCCTCCCCTTTCCTCTCCACCAGGTTATGGAGGGTGCAACACGCGGCCACCACCTCCGGGATGTTGCGTTCGCCCATCTCCAGGCATGTGAGGAGGCAACGGAACCTCCCTTTCAGCCAGCCGAAGGCGCATTCCACCTGGCTAAGATGCGTGTGGAAAAACTCCTTGTTCACATCCAGGTGGCCGGTGTAAGGCTTCATGAGCCATGGCATCGAGGGGTAGGCTGCGTTGGCCACTATGCACTCCGGCATCTGCACATCCCTGAGTGCAAGGTGCCGCTGGGGGAAAATGTTCCTGCCTGCAACCTGTGGTGCAGGTAGGAGTTCCTGAATATGCGGGCATCATATGCCCGCCCTGACCACCTGACACAAATGTCCATAAAGTGTCCCTGGTGGTTGACGAGGGCCTGCAGCACCATGGAATAATAGCCCTTCCGGTTTATAAATTGGGCTGCTCAATGGGGTGGGGCACGGATTATGATGTGTGTCCCATCGAGGGCTCCTCCACAGTTCGAGAATCCAAGGGTGGCAAACCCGGCAATGATGTTGTCCAGGTCCCTGAGGTGGACGAGCCTCTTCAGCAGCTCTGCATTGATGGCCCTCAGCACCGGCAGCACGAGACAAATAGAAACCACCCCTCCCCTTGTCAAGGTGCCACTCCATCCCCCACTCCCTCTTTTCCTTGCCTGGCAGTCCCCCTTTCTCAACCCTCCCCACTCAGCAGGGCCTGTCCCCCGACAGTGACTTACCGCCATCAAGACGGCCCCGGTGGTAGACCTCCCCTTGCCAAACTGGTGTCCCACAGAGCGGTAGCTGTCCGGGGCGG